TTTGGGGGAAAAGTGCATACGGGGAAATGTTTATCGACAGTATGTATAATAACTAGTCGAGAGTATATAACTGTGTATGAGTCTGGATAGAGAGATGTATATGACTATAGCATATATAGGTGCTTTGTTGTCTGAGGCAGTTCCCTTCGGTCAGAGCAATATGAGTGAGTAGGTAGGTGGCCATGCACCAGGTGTTATCAGATGAGCTGTTGGAGAAGATTATGGAGCTCGGCTGAGCTGACCCGAATGTGTCAATTCAAGAGCAAATAATCCATTTGAGTTGAGAGCTTGTCACAAAACCCGGAAGCGAAATTTTTTTTCCTACTTGAGTTCCGGACCACAGCCAATCAGCGCACTCCATTCACTCGACTTCCTCGAAGCAACAATGTAAAATGAATACCACAATACCACGATTGCAATTACTATGAATCGCCGTAGCGGGGAGCGCATCACTCGAACCAGCTGGCGGGTGTATGCAGTTTCACGCGCTCGCTACCCTACACGCTAGCATGGCTGCGGGAGAGAGCAGGACGATCCTCATCGGCATCATCATCAGTGCGATCGCACTCATGTGCCTCTACCAGATGAGCGATCACTCGCACCAAACTCCGGCGCTCGCGAAACCGAAGATATGGATCCGTGAGTATTCGACGGGAGTGAGGAGTACACGGGAGTGGAGGCGGACGGACGCTCCCGGAGCTTCGTACGTCGGATGTACGGCCGTAGTGCGAGACGGGACGGATGCTTTCGGCAGCAGCGACGCTCGCAGCTGCATCCTCGCCTGCCAGCGGGAAGCTGCCGCGTACGCTACCGTGGATGATGCGGGTTCGTGGTGCAGATGTGTGCACGGCAGCAGCAGCAGCAGCAGCGAGCTGCTTGTTTCACCCACGTCCTGCCGGTCGGTCACCGCCGAGCAGGATGTCACTGCGGCGTTCGCACCGACTTCGGACGAAGCGCGGCTGTATAAACTGGAGCGATGCACGCAACGGGTGACCATTTTATTACCATTTTATTATTGAAACGTTCCAAGTGCCTAGCTGTGTGCTAGGGCTGTGGGAGTTGGAATTCGTGGAAGGACGCGCGCTTGTACGACACATGTAATCAGGAGTCTATCAATAGACATGCCTGTGTGACGATGAAAGGCAGTACTTCCGAATATTTGTATAGAGTATCCAGTAGGAAAGCTTTGTAAGTATCTTGAATGGGGTGGCCTTTAGCACAGAACTCACATGATGGTAGCTGAAACGAAAGTGAAGCGGCTGGGGCCACACCGGTAGAGCTCACAGCACACGCAGGCGTGCGACAACTGTCCGCGGGCTATAGTACTATAGCTAACAGCTCGGGTGGTTGACCGCGGTTCGCCTCATTAACCCTAGTCACTATCGTTAGTCTTAGGTTTTGCGATTTCTTGGACAGAACAGCTTTCCTTACCAGGCCGCTTAAGGTGGTGTACAACAGTAGAAGGCGTCCATAGGCAGCAGGCCTGAATAAGCATAGAACAGAAATACTCACACTGTTTCGTCGCATACACAACATACACTTTATTCATGTTAAATAACTACAGATTCATGCTCTATGCTCCGCTCGAAACTTTTGCCAGCTCCATGATTTCTACAAAGTAGTCGGATATCACGTTTCAAACACAAAAATGGCCTACCGGTCACCATGGCTACGCCACTTGACGGAATGTCACAACTACACGACAAGACCCATTTTACTTCTAATGCTTTCTAGACGTCCACGAGGCATCCAACTGGCGTGCATAATGCAAATTAATTATTGCACTCCAGTGCCGAATTTCACCGGGAAAAAAAGCCAAAAAAGACCGTTTCTAGAGACCAAATAGTGCAACGGTGAACAATTTGCGGAGGCTTACTGTTGTATGCCTTCTTAATCCTTAGTTTATAAGAATAACCTTATATTGTAGCTCTTTAACAATAGCCCTCCACGTTTGTTTTTAGCACGGCAACGCACCATGCTCGCTCGTCTGCCTGGACCCGATCGGAGCGCACCCTGTCGTCGCTCTGGCCAGCGCGCCCGGATCCGGAAACACGTGGCTGCGCTACCTTATCGAGATGACGTCGGGTGACGGGCGCATTCGCAGGACATAAGAGCGGGTACGAGGGAATAGAAAATAAGGCGTTGGCGCCGTATCGTGGGACACTCTTTACCTGATCACTGAGTTACCATATACGTCACCTCAAGACATGACTCGTTTGACGGCCCTCTCATGCTGCACACCAGAGCACGTCATCGATGATTGCAAGAGCAGAATATCCGTGTTCTGGCCTGGTAACATGACTCAGGCCATCACTTGCCGTCAGAAATAGCTGCACCATTGCAAACCGAAAATGGCACATTCACGCCTAGCGTACCGCCAACACCCCAACACCGCCGTAATAACCCTATTCCAATTGTGTGTGTGCTGATTATTTTCCACTAGCCAAAGGCACCAACTTAACCTTGGCAATCGTTGAAGATACTCCAACTGGCCATCGTTGCAAAAGGCCTCATGTGGTTCCACTGCTAGTTTGACAGCCCTCCGCAGAGCATTCGTCACCTTATGGCATACGCCGACGAACTCGCATCTGACGGTGGCCCTAAATTACTGCCTGCCGCAACCCGTGAGTTCATGAAGAAACTGGAGTGTTCATCACCTTATCGTCTGTTGCCTTCCCCTACAGCACTGTCGTGCAGCAACCCGGGGTGAAAAACTGTCAAACGACTTATAACTGACGAACACCAGGACGCCCTACGGTGAAGCTTGAACACAGACAACTTCCAACATGGGCAGAGCTGCAGCTGGCACGAAATTGCCCCAGCAAAAGACACCAAACTCTCCCTGCGATTGTGCGTCTTTAACAGAAGCCTTTCAAGCGACGTCCATCCATGTCTTCCCGGGTCGTTAGCACTACATAGCACAACTGGAAATGAAGCATTGGCGGCGAAGTGAGGAAGCAATTGGAAACCGACATATGAGGGCTGCTGAACGTGTGGAGGAACACACAAAAGCGACTTCCCATCTGCTTGTAGTTGCAACCAACAGTCAAGATCCAGAACCAAACTGGCCCCTACGCCCACCGTGGAGATGGGATAAACACTGGACAGGTGATAGAGGTCCCGCCAAGAACGAACCCAGTAACGTGGTGCGGTGCGACGCCGGTCAGACGAGGTTACAGTCCCGCAAATAGAAGTTCCTCGCGGATTGTATACCCCGATACACGCGCACGCCGCCACGTACGCGGGAAAGACAGGTATCATTTGATGACATCAGCAAGCATGCCATCTAGATGGCCAGGTCAAAACCAATGGGAACCTCCTATAAGGGCCCAGTGACCAATAGAGCAGGTGGCACCTCAGGAGTCATCCACCAAACACCATCAAGTTACCCCCGGAACGCCGTTACCTGCCGCGGTCCAGAGGTGTCCATCGCGTGTCACCCTTCCAAATGACCGGCCACGGTCCCCCGGATGCACATCAGCAAGCTTCGACCAGACTTCCGGATGAGACACCATCATTACACCCGCTAACCTCGGAACATCGCCTGGAGGTCCACATCGCACGACCACAACGCGTGTCTCCTGCCGGTATCACCGGCCCAAAACGCCCAGTACACAGCCGGACCCAGTAACGGCTGCCGACAATACTACTGCAGCCGATGCAGAACAACGACACGCGTCAGTAGCGCTGACGACCCTGCCGAGGGGGGTGGCAGACATTGCTATGTATGTGGCGTTAGTCGTTATGAGAGCTGCTGCCAACGATCGCGTCGACGTCCCGAGTGGCGCATTCGCACTCGTCGATGGGGCAGTCACATAACCGGCAATCGCTGTTTTGTGAAGTTCGAGGGAGTTGTCACTGATAGAAGCGGCTTTTCACCAGTCAATGAGTCGCCATCAAATAGATATTGTGTGAGCGAAAGTTGAATCCTGTCCGTGTGTTTGGCCCGTCATCTCATTGTACCTATCTGTCAATCGTTACAGTTTATACGCTCATTGTGCATCATGCAGGAATTAATGTTATAGAGGGCGCATCAGAGAGCGTGTGCGCGCATGAGCAGCGCCGGCTGAAAGAGTGCGATAGGATATGTTTTACTAGGCACTTCTAATTTTAAACCAATAATATTTTAAGATCTTAATTAGGGTCAGGGTTACGGGTTTAGGGTTAGGGTTAGGCACTTTTTAGGGTTAAAATTAGAAGTGCCTAGTAACATATCCTAACTCGCACCTGTCAGCCGACTGCCGCGCATGACAATGGCAAGTGCGTTCGATTTGCTTTCCCCGAAGTTAACCTGCGGTCTACTCGGGCCAGCCCCAAATACGTTCGATTTGGCAGCGTCACGTGGTGTTTTTTCGTTACAGCCGGGTCAACCCGGTGAGAACGAAAGTGAGGGCGGCTCCGCCGGGTGCTCACTTGGGGGGGAGGGGGCTTGCGGAAGTATCCCCACAATTATTGGGGCAACGCCCCCACATGCATGACGACGAATATCAATGCGGGATCAGTTGCTGGCATGCAAATGGTAGGCACGTGTGAATGACTGCGTGTGTATTGCTCAATTGAACGGTGAGTGGATAGGATGATGTTTATTAGCTGGACATGCTCTCTATCCTTCCGGGCCGTCTCATTCTTAGATTTCATTTTTAATAATAAAGATTGCAATTGCAATTCTTTTTTTCTTAGTCACTGGCATCCATGAATAATTAACCCGGGGGTTAACCCATAAAACCGTTCGTTTATCTTTCCTAACCAGATGCGTTCGATCTTCGTACCCAATGCAGGTTAACCCATGCTGGCTCTGGGAAGCAAATCGAACCGATAATTGTGATGTGGAGGTGAGCGTGCTCGTTCCTCTTGACGACGCAACAGTAGAAGAGACGAGACGTGTTAGCCCGCAACGTCTCTATTTGTAGTGCTAATTATAGGCCGAATGGCTTAGGACGTTTGGTAATTGTTGTTGTAAGCGAGGACTAGCATCGTCACGGGCGCGCGCAAGTGAGCAGAGTGATCTTGCAAACGCGTGAGATGCAGAGGTAGAGTAAGTGGCGACGTTGTTATCCCGCCAGCACCCAGCCCTAGTCCTGGTAGGCGAGAGTGGATCGCTGCTGTAACTGGCAACCACTCTCCCGTGTAGTAAGTAGTGTGTTAAGTAAAAAAGCGTATTGTTCCTTGTACGTCTCTCGTTGCTGTTCGTTTCGTTCTGCGAAGACCTGGTAGAATCTGGATGGGAACGTAATTCCCGAGGAGAACTCGGCAACGCCCGAACCTAGTATACGATCACGGATAGAGGGCAAGACGGTGGAGAAGAAGGCAAAAACGTTACAATAGGAACACGTCCAATTCGTAAATCAGTCTTTATTCAATACAGATTACAAATGATGGGACTCAATCTGAAACCAATAGAAAAGAGAGTTACATTGTGGTATATTATTGTCTAGTTCGTACGAAATCTGACATGCAGCATTGACTGCAATTGTGTTAAGACGCATTTTAAGTAGTCTAATGCTCGTGCGCATAACAGTATATAAATATAATATAGAAGTAAAAACAGACGGATACCCATGTAGATATAGAAAATTATAAATATAGAAAAATAGAATAGGGTTGCAAATGTTTTATTTGCCGAGCTTTCGAGAAACATGTTTCTTCCTCAAGAATACAATAACACAAGAATTGCATACACAATTAATACGAAATGAATACTATATATATATATTATATATTATATATATATATATATGATATAACTATGGCGCGACAATCTTATCAATAGGGCTGCAGTGGACTAATTTGGCACTAAGGCACGCTTGCGCCATATTTAACCGTCACATATTATAGAGGGTCGAGCGTATGGACTATTGCACAGACTTCAATCAGTGCCCTCAGGCGCTAGCCACAGACTTTAGCAGTATGTAAAATGGCCCTCCTCCAATGTCATAAGCCGTTGTGACCGCGTTGTTGTGATCGTTAGCTGATCTGTTGCGCTTGAACACGTTAAGTACGTGATTATACCATTAATAGATCCACCCACGTGCTTATACCACAAATTCTCCTCATTCGGTTGATGCAGCACATATGACTGACTGTGCGTGAAATAGGAAATGTAGTAGCACTGATCGCTCAGAGAAAAAGCATGCGGAAAAAAGACTTACTTTCCAATCACAAAGGCTCTCTCTCTCTCTTTATCTCATACACACACACACACACACACACACACACACACACACCATCACACACACACACACCACACACACAAACACGCACGGTGCACGCACGCACCGTACGACGCAGGCACACGGACACGCTCACGCAGCAAGCACACGCCACACGCACACGCACGCACGCAACGCACACACACGCACGCCACGACACACACACACACACACGCACACACGCCAAGCGTAATTCTGCCTCGTTTTGTAATTCAGTACGTTGCAAACCTCGTGTAACGATGGCGTATATAATGAAGCCCGTAGGTCACCAGACAGAAAACGTCGCCGCGACGAAACATCATAAATCACAATTAGAATTAGAATCAGAATCATATTCAAATTTATAATCATAAATCATAATTATAATTACAACCATAATCATAATTCATGAATCGTAATAAAAAATTATAATCGAATAAATAAAGCGCCTATATAACGTTTTAGTTACAACGACATGCCGCCTCCTGCATTCCTCACCACTGCGACGTTAGATGACAGCCAGCGTTCTCCGCATCACAACACGGCTGCGCATCGCGCTGGATCCGTCACCGCATCGGCGGGTGGCCGCCATCCCTTTTGCAGCAGTCTCTGCCGACCGTCGGCCAGCGTAGCTCTCGCGAGCGCTGAAGGCGTCCCCGGAATGGAACACGAAAGCTGCTTGCGCGTCGCCAGCTCGTCCGCGACGTCGATGAAGTCGCTCTCGATGTACTGACGGCGCAGCCGAGTCCTCCTCGAAGTCCGACGACAGCGTCGAACGCGCAGGAAGCGCGCGATCGCGACGCAGCTGCCGGCGGGTTGCGTCGGCGCGCACGTCGTTGTAGTGGACGACGAGGCAGCGGGCTCGCAACGCTGCGCAAGAGTAGACGAGTTGAGCAGGTACCAAGGCGCGCAGACTTTTCCTC